CAATGTTTCTCTCTCATCGATGTTTCTAACTCTCTATCCCTCTCCCTTCCTCTCTGTAAAAAATCAATAAAATATATTTTTAAAAAATGTTGACACGCCGAGCTCAAAAGGTTCGCCATCACTGTCTTAAACAGTGAAAGGATTAAAATTGGATAACTCAAAAAGGTGTGCAATAGATAAATGAGAGGTTTTCCACTGAAATACAAAATTTTTCCTACATTTTTAAAATATATTTTATTGATTTTTTACAGAGAGAGGGAGAGAGATAGAGAGTTAGAAATATCGATGAGAGAGAAACATCGATTAGCTGCCTCTTGCACATGTCCTACTGGGGATGTGCCCGCAACCAAGGCACATGCCCTTGGCCGGAATCGCGGGACCTTTCAGTCCGCAAGCCGACGCTCTATCCACTGAGCCAAACCGGTTTCGGCCCTACATTTTTTTTGAAAGAGAATATGTTACTGGAGCTTAGATGGGCTCATCAGTAGCTCAATTGTACTTCCTGTGTCTCATCTACACCAGCTACCTCTCTACCCACCACTGTCATTGTTATGAACACTTTCCGCTTTCCCAGCCTCCCTGTCCTTGCTCAGAGCGTAATGGCCAAGCCTGCATGTTTTTCCATCATGTTGCTTTTCTGAGCCCCAATTCCACTTTAAACAGAGTCTGCGGTAAAAAGAAATTGTTCTAGACAGTTAACTGTAACCACTTGCATGAAAATTTCCTGGAAGTGCATCTTAAGAATGGAATTCCTTGGAACCTTCCACACTTGTTGAGTCAAAATCTGGTGGGGGCAGGGGCAAGTTTTTGGACAATAAGTTTGAGACTCACTGGCTTAAGTACAACCAAAAATAATATGTTTAACCCTATTCATCTAAACTAAATGAGACTGTGGAATCTCAGAGGGAAGATGGGGGTGGGTGGGTGGTAAGAGATCAACCAAAAAACTTATATGCATATATGAATAACCCATGTATAGAGACAATAGGGTGGTGAAGGCCTGGGGTGGGGGTGGGGGTGCTAGAAGGGGTCAATAGGAGGAAAAGAAGGACATCTGTAATACTTTCAACAATTAAGATTTAAAATAAAACAAAATCTGGTATGAAAGTTGCTGGAAATTTGAAAAAAGCAGGTTAATGGTGGAATTAGGAGATGCAATACTAATGACCTTCCCTGTAATTTCTATCAAAATCTGGCTATGATTATTTTCAAATTGAGTATCTGGGACATTAATCCATTAATGACCTTTCTAGGCACTTGGTTAAGTTTTATTTTATCGTATTTCTTTTTTAACTGAAAATATACTCAGACACACATTAGATAACAAACACAATAAAGAAAAATTCATAATCATTCTGTTGTTTTCATTCTCTTCATATTTTTTTTCCATTCTACTGCAGTTTAATTAATTATTTATTCAAATCTGTTGATCTTGAATTTTCTTATTATGTCAATGCTCGAATTCTAAGAAATTATTTTTACTTTTCTAGATAGCATATCTGTTTTATAATAACATTTAACTCTAATAAATTCCAATTTTGTTGTATCATATAAAATTAACTTTTTTTCCAGATCATAATTCAAATTCTGATAACTCATTGCCTAGACTTAATCTGCTCCTATTTTTATGCATTACAATTGGTTCCAAAGAGCTATATCTCTGCCTGCAGGATGAACACCATGTTATTATTATCATTGCTTTTCAATACATTTTGCAATGAACATGTGAACACAGATATCTCTTCAAAGTAGTGATTTTATTCCCTGTGAGACAATACCAAAAGAGGGATTACTTGATCATATGGTAGCTCTGTTTTTGTTTCTTTGAGGAAATGTCATATTGTTTTTTCATAATGTCTACCTATACCAATGTACATTACCACCAACAGTGTAAAAGGGTTCCCTTTTCTCCACATCCTTTCCAACATTTGTTATGTTTTTTTTTTATTATAGCCATCCTAATAGGTATAAGGTGAGATCTCATTATGTATTTGGTTTGTATTTCCCAGATGATTGGTGATGTTAAGCATCTTTTCATATACCTATTAGCCATTCATGATAGCCAAGATACGGAAACACCTAAATGTTCATTGACAGATGAATGGACAAAGACAGTTTGGTATATATAATGTGATATTATTCAGCCTTCAAATTATTCACCATTTGCAACAACATGGATGAATCTGGGAAATATTATGCTAAGTAAAATAAGCCAGATACAGAAAGAAAAAAACTGCATGATCTCACATATGGAATCTAAAAATAGTTCATATACATAGAAGGACAGTGTAAAACAGTGGTTAGGAGACTGGGGGAATAGGAAGATGTTGATCAAAGGGTACAAATTTGCAATTATGTGTGATAAACAAGTCTAGAGATCTAATGTACAATATGATGATTATAATTAATAACACTGTATTGAATGCTGGAAATTTGCTAAGAGTAGATCCCAGGTGCTCTCATCACACACCAAAAAATTAAAAAGTAACCATGTGAAGAGATGATATATTAATTAGCTTGACTGTAGCATTATATGTATAAAATGATAATGCTTTACACCTTAAATATATGCAATTTTTATTAAAAAACAAAACATAAAAAAATCAATACATTATACTTTTTGGACCATCCACATACTTATACTTCTTTAGGAAAGTTATTGACAATATCTATCTACTTAAATTTCTAAGTGAATATAGATTTATTTTCTTGAATTCTTTGACTTATTGGATTTTTATTAGCAGCAACATTAAATCTAAACTATAACTTGGGAATGGGCCACAAAATATTTAGT